AACTGCAACCTTCTAACCTCTTGAAACTAGCTGAAAACGGTGGAGCAACGTCGGTTCTTGGATTGAATTGGGATCCAGAACTTGACTGAGTTACGTTTAAGGTAAATTTATCCTTGTCCATCGCTTTGTGGACCAAACACACCGTTCTCTCGCAGCTAGCCAAGTTTTTTGATCCACTGGGTTGGATTTCTCCAGTGTTAATCAAAGCAAAAATTCTTATGCAAGAATTATGGCTGTTAAAATTATCATGGGATGACCCACTGCCTCCTGATCTTCTTAAGGGATGGCGTGACTAGTTAAATGGTACCAAGGCTCTAAATGAAATTCCACGTTATAATCAATTTCAGCCCAAGAATTCAAGGTTGGAAATCCATAGCTTAGCGGATGCATCAAAACGAGCTTACGCTGCCGTACTCTATTTACGAGTGGTCACAGATAATAAAAATTCCATCTCACTAGAGATCGCTAAGACCAAGGTTGCGCCACTTAAAACTTTTAGCATTTCGCGGTTAGAACTTTGTGGTGCACACTAGCTCTCTAAGATGGTTAAACATTATATTTCCACTACTAAGATCCTACCGTCTCAAATCCATTTATATACGGATTCTATGGATACTTTGTGCTGGATTCGTTTAGTACCCTTGAAGTGGCCGACGTTTATTGCCAACAGATGTTCCGATATTCAAACGTTGAACCCTACTGCTGTTTGGCATCATGTCAAAACTAAACAGAATCCAGCGAATATCGCTTTTCGTGGGGTGTTTCCTCATCAGTTGATCAATTACAGTTTATGATTTCAAGGGGCGAAGTTTCTGAAGGATCAGAAAATAATATTCTTTGAAATTTCACCAAAAAACCTGACGGTGAAGGAAATCCCAAGCCAGGAAGTAGTCAATACTATTTCCTCTGAGAGCTCTGAAAAGTACACGCTTGATGTATACCTTGCTTATAGCAGTTGGCACAAGTTGCTTGTAGTCATTGGTTATTGCTTAAGATTTATTTTTAGGCTAATAAATAGGTGTCGTTTCACTTCTAGTAGGGTAAGGAGGTCTAGCACTGCGGGAATTGAAGTCTTGTCGACCTTTCTAAACTTATTTGATGCTTTAGGAACGAAAACTAATCGTTTAAGGTTGCCCGAACTCAGTAATGCTCGTTTGGTGTTAATCAGAACGCATCAAAAGAAGCATTTTTTCAAGGAATACAACGTTCTTTCTAAAAATCGGTCATTAACCGAATCGAAGCGTAGCTTTATAGGAAGGCATAGTATGCTGGAAAAACTGAACCCCATGTTAGCTGATAAAATCATAAGAGTTGGGGGTCGAATAAGTCAAGCTTTAATACCCAACGAAGCTAAGCACCCAATTATCTTAGCTCCCAATGATTATCTAACTAGGTTAATCATCGATTATCATCAGAATCTGATGTTACATGGAGGAGCTCAGATTACTTTGAAGTCCATTCAACGGTCATATTGGATAGTGCGAGGGAGGCAGATAGTAAGTAATTCAATTCTCAAATGCTCTCTCTGCATTCGCTATTCTGCTAGACTGCAGACTCCTATGATGGGTGACTTGCCCACTTCTCAAGTCCAAGAGGGTCCAGCCTTTTTGAAGACAGGAGTAGATTACGCTGGACTTTTCCCTATACGTCTGACTAAAGCTAGAGGAAAGGGTACGCAAAAGGGATATATATGTGTATTCGTTTGTATGATCACTCGCGCCGTGCACTTGAAAGTAGCAGAGGATTGCTCTTCCCAGGCCTTTCTAGCGGCCTTCAGTCGTTGTACATCTAGAAGAGGACATTGCACCGATTTATTCAATGATAGAGGCACGAACTTTATAGGTGCCTCCTCTGAACTTAAGGAATCTCTTCTAGCCTTAATGAGTTCATACAACCTGAACGACCAATTTCTGAAAATGGGCACTAATTGGCATTTTAATCCACCCTCAGCCCCTTATTTTGGTGGGTTGTGGGAAGCGGCAGTGAAATCTGCTAAGTCATTGTTGAGAAAGGTAATTGGTAAACAGATACTTACCTTTGTAGAATTCTCAACGTTACTGTGTAGGATAGAGGCGTGCCTGAATTTGCGTCCTCTTGTACCCCTATCCAATGACCCGTTTGACTTAGTAGCTCTCACGCCAGCTCATTTTTTGAATTATAAGCCTGCTTTTTAAACTCCATAACCTCGGCTCAAAAGGGAGCCCTTTAACCCCTCTGTAGGTGGAAGTTTATTTCTTAATTTATACAACAGTTCTGGAAGAGATGGTCTAATTAATACCTCGTATCATTACAGACCCACCAGAAATGGTGTCAAAGGCAACAACAAATACAAGTTAATGATTAAGTTCTTATTCGCCAAGAAAACACCCCGCCTGGTCATTGGCCATTAGGACGAGTCGTGAGAGTTTTTCTGGGATCAAACAATACCGTTAGGGTAGCTGAAATTCGTACCACTGGCTCAACTTTGACTCGACTGGTGGTTTAGCTTGTTTTATTATTACCTGTTGCGTAGTTTGATGGCAATTACAAGAAAGATTTGTAAAGGACAGCAGTCCTACCAGCGTCTTGTTTGCTAAATCTATTTTATACCTATTATATTTGTTTTCAATAAAAATTTTTTACAAATCTCCTATGAATCCTTGGTACGTGTCCTGAATTCCCACTTACCAACCCGGGGGATTGTAAAATCGAGAAACCAACATAACGCTTAATTTTGCGAATTTTTATTATACCTTTTCATTAAATTAATCTTAATTTAATTTTCTTTTAGCTGTCTCTTAAATGCCAACATCCCAACCCAGGGGTATGTTTAGTTTTGAGTTCACTGAATACTAAAATGTATTTATTTTGAATGTACTTAAGATATATGTATTCTGAACAAGTAGTATACTATAGTTTACGTATCAGTATGCATCCTTATGTATTTGACGTTATATATAAGTAGGCGAATGCAGGAGAGAAAGAGATGGTATGTATGCTTGTACAGTTAGCTTTTTGTGTTATAGGAGTCACTGGCGCGCGACTGTAGATGCGTGTCTCGTGTGTAGTGAGCAGCTATAGTTAGTTCTCCTTCAACTCTTGTAACGAGCTAGTCGTACTGTACTTACCAGTCTCGTTGCTTTCTTTTACTATTATTGAACTTTTTTTTCGTCGTAATATTACGATTTGTTAAACTTTAGTTCATTAAACGACGTTGTAACCATTTACGATTTAATCTCATTAACGAGCGATTTATCGTCAATTAACTTAAGTATTTAAGACTATATCTATATTTCTCGATTTTTCGATAGTATCAAGTGTATCATTACGAAGAAAATAAATCTTTATATTTTGTTGATTATTAATTAAAAGTGCTGTGTGAAATCAAGTCTTTTCATAAAGCCCGTATCATTTCCAAAGGGCTAAGTGATTCACCCTTTCCGGTTTCGTTCCTTCCTCAAGGTAAAGTGTCCCAAAACTAATTATCCCCAGCTCTCGGGCTTCTCGATATCGTCAGTTATGAAAACTGAGAAGAACAGAATAAAATTTATTGCGCTAAAAAGCCGTTTTTTAATACATAAAACAATTGCAATATCTTGATATTTAAACTTCTATTGTACCTCGAACAGAAAATGACTATTTATTCTTCAGAATTGTAAAGAAAATAAAATCTCTATAAATGGGAATTTAATTGACAACGACATAATAGTAGTTTTTGTCAAATAAGTAACATAGTTTCCAAAGCTATTTTGTGGTCTGAGGGACCTGCAAATCAGGGCCCAAAGGGCGGTTAGCAGCAACGGTACGATGGCACGTAAGTGCCGAGTCCTATTTTTTCTACCAAGGGCCCATTAGCTTTTAAAAAAACACCCAAGGTAGAAAAAGCTTTTTTTTGTAGAAAAACAAATAAGTGGTCAAGAGTTATGCATTTATTATTTTTTTTTGCGTTACAAAAATAATTGTAATTTACAAGTTAATATCTTACTGAGCCCATTAAAATCACTTATCACTAAATTTAAGAATAAAGTTTCGTATATACCTTACATTTTATTAATAACAGTTTATTATATGAAACACAATCTTAATATCATAAAAGTCAGCCCAATAATATTCTAGTTATAGAAGCTTTAAGAGTGGAGGGTTCAAATAGCATAGACAAAAATTGAGACCAGATGAGTATTGAGGATGCACAAATACTCCTTATTCAAGTTTTTAGATGAAAAGTGGATTTTTTTAAGATAATTTCTAAATTTTTTGAAGAAATCTAATTTGATCTACTTGTCATTACAGTTATAATCACTTGAAAAAAACAGTTTGATTTGGATACCCAGAAGTTAAATGAAAAAAAAAACAGTTTATTTACCGTTATAACGACTGCAGTGTGCTCGAAAAGATTAACGTGCTCTGCAAATGTTACCCAATAGGATTAAGGACCAGGTCGTTTTAAATGAAATTGTGTACTAGGAGGTAGTAAAACATCACCCTCAAACTTTGGTAAAGTAAAAGGGATTTATAGAGAAAAAAAGAAAATTAGATATATTAGTTTCGAATAAGAAACTCTGCAATATGTTTACGTAAAATATATTATTAAATACACTTTTTATAGCAACTACCGTATATCTGCACCTTCAGAGTCAAAGTCCTACTTTCTTAAAATCTCTTCTTTATAATTTGTTCTTCATGTTCCCGAATTATTTTTTAATTTTTGCAATGTAGAATAGTGCCAACATAATAAGATATTATATTTACTTTAGATTTTTTTTTATAAGCGATTATTTATATTTACTTAAGACGTCCGTATTTTAAAATTTATTTCAGGTATAAAAAGCTTTGAATGACTTGACCAGAAGTAATAAATCAGACAATGACAACTACAGTGGTAAGATAAATTGGGAAATCTTTTCATGAAATTCACCGTTAACACAGTCTTAGTGACTAGCTATATCTATAAAAGAAGGTAGGTATTATTATAAATTTTCGTAATTTTAAGCATTGTTAACTATTCAATAAGGTATACGTACTGGAATAATTTTTTTCCTGTTTCCCAAACTGACCCCGAATTATCACAATCTTGAGGTGCTTCAGATATTGTTTCAGTCTCGTTCATCTCTCGCAGTGCTGATACTAAAACGTACCTGCAAGTTATTATGGCACATTGTAGTCAATTTTAATTTAGAACATAAGAATAATTAGAGAAATTATATTACAAATGTTTAAAAAGATATGTCACAGCTCTTAAATATTAATAAGCTGTTTATCATAACAGAGCTCTATGAAATGGCATTAACACATTTGTTTTACTACATGTCGTAGAATAAATAGAGAGTAATTTGTGAAATAAAAACTAATTATTACGGTTTAGGTCTTTACCACAGTTGTAACAAACAGAATTACGGTATGATTAAATTTATTCCTCAAATAAATATACGTTTGACTATAAAATCTAGAAGAATGGTTTTGCCTCATACTTTCTATAAGACTTTTTTAGTAATATTTGGCACCTTTCCTCATGTTTTGTGTAACTAAGTTGTTGATATTGAAACAACAGGTATTAATACAGTTTTTTTACGTAGCTAAAAAAATTCTTTAAGTGCTTTTTTTAGTTTTTATGTTTATTTAGATCGTGCTATATTTCCTGTGTTGTATTGATATAATTTATTTTATTTTATATACATTTGAGTTTTTGATAAAATGACATATTAAGCTGATGTAGAAGGTTTTGCTACATGATTTTGTTTTTGCATCTTTTAATACACTATTTTTTTTTAATTTGATGACATAAGCAAAACTTCGGTCTTACATCTTGATTTTTAACTGCTGAATACTACTAAATAAAAAAATGACAAACTTTTATGGTATTATTTCTCGTACCCAAACTAGTATACACGAATTCAGAAGTACATTTCTGTACTATAGAAGAATTCTTACTTTTATCGCTAGATCTTATTTTAAACGGAATCCCACTACATCAAAGTACAATTTTGCGTCTGTCAACTAATACTTACTTGCTGAACCCTTAATTAATTTTTAATTTTTTTTTCTTGTTTTAATGAAACAACAAGCACCCAATGCGTGGTGACTTTTCCAAAGTCATTTCTGAAAAATTTTGTCAAAAAAATTTCTTTAAGATGTCTTATGTATCGCAACAGTGGTATAATATAAGGTACTTTCATGTCTTTTATTTTATTTATTAACATAAGCTATTCAATTCATAAAAGAATTTTTAATTTCAATCTAACGCCATACTTATAATAATATTAACAATAATAATAATAATAAAAATAATAATAATAGTAATAATAATAATAATAATAATAATAAAAATTATGCCTGATTTCTAGTAATAACTTCTGTTGACGGGTGGCTTACGGTAAAACTCACAAGTAAACAAGTTACATGTAGAGCATAAAAAAGCCTAAACATCCATTGATAATCTGTTCTTTTTTGGGCATGACCCAAACCCTTACATATCTATACACAGCGTAGATCTAGACAACCTTCTTAATATGTTTGGGATCGGATTAAAAACCTTTATAAAAATACTTTTAAGTAAAAATGTTTAAGCAGCAGAGGTGTCATTACACTAAAATATGAAGACTTTAGTGACAAGCAGTTATAATGCAGGCGATCTTTAACCTCGAACAAGAAGATAAAAAAATCTGTGCAAGGACATAGCACATTAAAAATAAGAAATTAATCTTCGGCGTTAAATATTGTAGATAGTTATAAGCTAATTCAGTTTTTCAAGACATTGAAAACTTATTTGAAAACTTCAGGATTATAAAAAGCTGCTGTTACATAAGTATTACATTAAATGTTTAAAGCATAGGCTCATGACTGGTTGGAACATATTAATAATGAAGTAAACCCTTTTAGCATCTTTGAAAATGCAGTTTTTTTCTGTCAGTATTAGGATAAGAATGTAATTGTTACAATGTGGTGACTAACTATAGATGCAGTAAATATGTATTAAATCTGTATAGTTAAGTCAACATGCTTACAGTTCTTTCATCTAAGGCTAAGACTGAGAGAAAAATTTAAAGAATATTTTAATAAATCAAACTAGCAATCAATTACTCTACGTGGTATCAATACTGTTGACGAATAATTAAAAATAACTTGATACAGCTTATGCAGAAAGTGCATCACAAAGTTCCATTACTGTCTGGGAGACTACGGTTCTCAAACTAATAAAACCAGTTATACCAATGTACAATCGCAATCAAAGCTACAAAACTTTAGGTCACCTATGCTCTAATCATAAAATAATTCGATCACACGTGTTAACAATTACAATGATTTATTTCCAGGAGGCCAGAATTTTTCTACACGCGATTCTAGTAAAGTTATTCGTAGGTCCACAAACATTTGTATTCGCTGGTCTAATAAATTTGTGTTTTGAGATTAGAGCATGGATTACCTAAAGTTTTGTAGCTTTGATTGCGATTGTACATTGGTATAACTGGTTTTATCAGTTTGAGAACCGTAGTCTCCCAGACAGTAATGGAACTTTGTGATGCACTTTCTGTATAAGCTGTATCAAGTTCTTTTAATTATTCGTCAACAGTATTGATACCACGTAGAGTAATTGATTGCTAGTTTGATTTATTAAAATATTCTTAAAATTTTTCTCCCAGTCTTAGCCTTAGATGAATTAACTAAGACTAAAGTCATTAAGTTTTAGTTTTTTATTCATGAGTGTGTTCTTAGGTAAGTGTTATCCATAAATCTAGGAGCTTAAAGATATAAACGGACTATGCAGCATTTTTTTAGAGGAACACTTTCTATCTTTTCAGAAATCAATGAGTTCTGTGTGGTTTTAAGGTCTTTGATATTAACTACGTTAACTTAAGACTGTAAGAATTTTTGATGAACTAACTGTTACAGATATCTCTTTATGTATAATCGTTAGTCACCACTACTTATTACTAACATTACTTTTGTGGAAAATACCAGAATAAGAGAATACTTTGAGCAGTGTCCTCTACATAAGTACATTAACGCAAGCTGTAAGCAACTCAACTTTCCATGAATTTTCCAAACGCTAACGTGTGTATATCAGGGCCACCAGATAAGGCGGATTCGAAAGGAAGACTGTGGGGGAGAATTTTCTTATGTGGTACACCACTTTTTGGACTGTAATTATTTCAGGACACATGGTTCAGTGCAGGTGGAAGTTTTCTAACTAACTGCCTGTACGCAAGACTATCAAAAGTTTGCCGGGATGGTCGATCGCTTTTATCGATGCGTACACCGAAATATACACAGCTAGACGAAAATCTTTACACTTTGATATAGGTCTGAAAGAAAGACTAGCACTTATGCCTTACAATTTTTGTTCTAAGTAAAGAATTTAAAAAATATCTAACCTTATAAATCACATACTCATTAGTATCAGAGTTGACTATTGCTATTTATTGAATGAATTCGCTTTACTTCTGTGCTTTATGGTTTTTAAATGAACAATTAAATCAGTGTGATGTGGTTGCAGGTAACAATTTAAAAATTGACAATAAGCCTCTGCTTAACCATTTATTATATCTATCTCCAGTGCATTACTCAACTAATCTGACGAAAAAAGGTATCAAGAATGGTAAAATAATAAATTCGGTGAAAAAACTTATTTATTTCTCAATCTTTTAATGTCGGCTCTTTCAACTAATCTTTTGAATTTTTTTACACTCAGATTGTTTGCCCATTGTCTCATGCACAACACAACTCGACGATTCGATATTAATTTATATACGTTAAAAACGTACCGTATACTTATGTTATTACTTCTGGTTTCAAAGCCTTGAGACACGGGAAAGCCTGATACACTGTTTAGTATCTATCTATGTAGTAAATGTTAAATTTTGTATTTTAATGCTGAGCTATCTATTGAACAGGGTATAGGACACTCTTGGCAGATATTCACCTCAGAGATAAGTCTTATACTGCTTCTAATTGTGTTGGTTAAGATAGCTTAGGGGCTATAAAAATTAAATAATAGATTTTTATTTTTAATGAGCCAACTTATACGATTTTGAGAAGCGACCATTGAAATCCCGTAAAGTTTTGGGTAGTTCAAAGCTTTTAAGTTGCATGTGATATTGAGCGGTGTTAGCAAACTTTTGTGAAGGTTTCTACAGATAATCTGGTGGTCCTGGTTTGTACACGAAATAGGACACTAAATCAAGGAATCTGCGAATGATAAGGCCAACTAATATGCTCAACGTAACGTTGAACAGTTGACAAACCCTCACCTTTGTCGATTAACAGATCCCAAGAACACCAGAAGCAGCAATATATCCCAGAGTATCACAGAAAATAAGTTTACCAATGCTCTCTTCTTTATAAAGGTAAAGACCTTACGAAGACGTCACAAAACATATAGTGGTTTTTGTCATTGTTCTAAGAACCTTCACTTTTTTGAGCCTGGATTATGGTATGTATATACTGCGCCACTAAAGTCCTTTTTTTTGTTGAGTAGTATTTTGAAGATGACTTTGTCAGAATAAAACGTTCTAATTTTTTTTGCAAGGATTCTCGTTCCAATTACCACTTAACACAAACAAAGGACAAATATCAAACTAACAGGGAAAATCAGCTACAATACCTGTGATTAAAGAAAAATTAATTTAGGTAGAGGTTAATTACTTAATGAGCATTCTAAGGCAATTCCTTGATATTTTTCGACACACAATGTGGGGAACCCAATTTTCATTCTAATTTGATATCTCCGTTGTAAAACAATACTTGTAAGCATTTCGAACAGAGTCATTAATATTTAACTGAATATTTTGAGGTGTAAAACGCCCACATACGCAATAAAAGCTATCCAGCTTCTTTCAATTATCATTTATGTGTCTTGTAGTTTTAGACTTCATAGAGGCTAAAGAACCTACCTTTATGGAGCTGCGGTTATGTGATGACGACGCCTGTGGGCTCATTTTTCCACCCTGGCTGGCTGCCAAAACTGGGGATTCAACCTCCTGCATAGCACATTTTTTACGTGTATTTGACATGACGGCATGAACGCTGTTATCTTGAGTCTCTGCCAGATAACGGATAAGCTCTATTGCTCAGCGTAAACCCCGTAGAGGTACCTTGGATTACAAATACATGATAAAAAATTTATAATTTGACGTATGTT